ACAATGTGTGAAGCCCATTTCTGGTGTCCCCCGCCGTGATGTTGCTGGAATATTGCTAAAAGCGTCGTAAAACCAAACTCAGTCAGTCAGTCAGTTAAAAGTAAAAATCCCTTTTTGTTTTTGTTCTTATAAGTGTGTTGATAATCGTAAGAGAAGCACGGCTAGTCTTCTGTCCTTTGGTAAAGATGAACAGCACGAAAATATAGCTGACAGACCAAGGATCATAATCGGAGTGATTTGGGGTTTGGCAGAACAAAGGGAAGCAATCTACACTGAAGTTCAGAGGACATATTATAAGATAGGGTAATTGATATAAAATTTAAAAGAACATGGATTACTGAAGCCAAGATGTCAATGAAGCGTAAAGGAATAACTATTTCAAAATTCCACGCCTCCTTGTTTGAACTGTTATATATGAGCCACCTGTCCCACTTTGGCAAGACCTCTAGTTCTTAGAGAGTTTCAATTATTGGCTTACATTTATAATTACATTTTGTTCACTAGGGGACGGAACACCGATGGACTTCTGGGATTTCCGCGGATGGACGAGAATCCCTCAGAACAGAGGGCTTAAAGAACCTTTAGTTCTTACTCCACATTTAATGCGCCATGTGTATAAACATATGAAATTCCTACTAATCTTCAGGAATCCGATAGACAGGTATATTGTCAATGTTGGTGACAGCATTACGGATGTTTATGAAGGGAAATTTAACTATAATCTGACGATACCTTTGGTTGTAAATTGAGGTAAATCTTGTGTAAAATTGTGTTGCAATAGCTTGAGAAGTACCTCTCTCTTACTCCTCCTTTGAAGAATTTTGTGACAAACTAAGACACATACACGGTGTTCTATATTCTACCATGACTTCAGTAAATACTGGATTGTGGTTGGTTAATCAAAGTCATTCAGAGGTATATAATCACGTTTTATACCTCTGATTTTCAAACATGGTATGTATTTTAAAAAAATCTTAATAACGCTCTAAATGTTTTATTTAAGCTATTATAATTTCATTATATTCCTCTGATTTTCCAACACAGTACGTTTATCTCCTAATTCAACAGATTGATATTGAGTCATGGACAAGTGCAATGCATTTGATAGTTCGAATAATCCTAACAAATCAAATATAATAAGAACTTCATTAATCTAGACAAAAATCTGCATAAACTGTGGATGCTGAGTGACTTTAAATATACCAATACATTCCCAGCCTCATATGTCGGGATTAACGGTCTGGACAATCCGGATTTAACTGTAAATTGGCATTGTTATTTTCTGATTATACTCGGTCTATTTGACTTTAAAACTAACTGGATATCCAGAGTCTGATGTTTCCGGATAAAAAGATGGGTCCGCACAATCCTGGTTCGACTGTATTTTGTTTTTCAGGTTATATTCGGACTACTTTTTCATGAATTATGGACATTCACCTGAATCATTCCACGACCATGTTATCCTTTCCATCAGAATGATGGAGAACTGCATCCGGGACAATTCTTTGAGAACATGCATGTTCAGTTGGAAGATGTACCATCAACTGCCGGTATTTAATTTCTTGAACTTTCTTTTATAACACCTGTGTGTGAGTTGCATTTAACAGCGCTGTGAACAATATTCCAATTACATCAGGGTGCGTCTGTTTAACGTGGGAGGAAACCCCGAAGTAATGTGTGTCTCAGAAGTTTACCACCGCGTGTAACCCACGAGTATAAATGTTCACATGCCTAGAAACATAATCCGTGCCACCATTGAGTCCACAACCCACCCATTCTCAAATTATACCCGTAAGAGCCTCTCTATCCGCATGTGTTGCCAAGTCATCTGAGACTCCACTAATAGCTGTGCAAAGGTAGATATATTCAATGAGAATGTTAAATTCCTGTGTTCGAACGCTAGATTCGCCTATATAAATATTTCCATGTTCTCCAGTCCCAGTAACTTAATACACAGAAAAAACGTAAATCATCAGGTCCTTAAATCTTAGGTATAATTTATAATAACACGATTATTAGAACCGAATATCATGATTACATCCACATCCTCTCGTTACCAGTAAGTATTGTAACTTGGCACTAGCATTTTAGTTCTCTCGTCATGTAATAGAAGGGGTATGAGTGGCCCAGACACCGGAAGCACCGCAGTTCGCCATCAGGCACGCCAGAAGCTTAGCATATTGTGGTCTGGCATCCTCAATGGTTTCTAGGTTTGTCAACTCGGTGTCTATGCTCGTTAGTATCACCATAGTGGTAAATGTCTGAGAACCGCATCAATTCTGCACTCCCAAATTGAGCTTTCACGAATGTGTATAACTTGAAAAGCGGCGTTAAACGAAGGTTACCTACACACTCACTTTCAAGCGGGAAGCGGGTTTAGGCACAGCCGCCTATGACACGGCAATCCTGTACACAACTATAAAAGTCGGCTCCATCCAGAGTCACCTTGATGTTTTATCTTGTCCGCCAGCACGATGTACGTTCTCGTTGGTTGAACCCAGTTGCAAACACCCGCGATCTCTGTCTCTTTTTATCTGATAATTTGAAATACTACCGAAAGCGGCCCGATTCATTTATTATTTCCCGATTCATTTATATTTGTCATCCATCTTTCAGACCCGACTCCATATTGGCTGTTACTCGGTGTTTCTCAAGGAATGGCTTGCTGTCTTTCCGCGAGAGGACTTCCTCATCTTGAAGACAGAGGACTACAACATAGATGCACTGGGGACTCTCCGAGACGTCTTCAACTTTTTATTACTACGTATGTTGCATAATGCTTAACACCATTTCAAAAACTTTATATTTTAGGAGGTATTCCAAGAAAAGGTAATGTTAGAAGCCGATAGGTGTTTTCATGTCGATTGAATATTCAAGTACCTACATGATACCTACATTATACATATCATGATACCATGATACAACATGGTTCATATATTTAAAAGTCGTGTAAATAAATTTCATTAAAATGTTGATAATTTATTTGGAGCATTTTGTGCAGTGTTGATGTCACGGATACTTGTGTTGTACTCCGACGGCATGGGTGCTGCTTATTATCAACCATTTATTTTAGTGTGCTAAATACTTACATGATACTAATTTGTTTTCTCGTGAAGTCCAAGTAACTTAATACACCTTTTTGGTATTTATGGACACAGAAAAACCGTTAATCATCAGGGTGCCGTTTCACGAAAGCCTCTTAGCGCTACGACGTCCTAGCCGGTACGACCTACTTTAGGATGTCCTAGCATAATGATTTACGACTGTTGCATGAAGATATCGTAAGCCCGTCGTAAACTCCTCTTAAGATATGGGTGTATTTACGATTTACGATGTGCTAACTTGCATAGCAACGCCTATGTAATCGAACCGGAAATGGAAGCGCACCTGTTTAAATTTCATCAGCGAAGAGCCAAACACTAAATATGAATTCAATAAAAGCTTATATGGTAAGTATGGTTAATTACAAACCTGTTGAAGTTTAATGACAGTATGTTACACCGCAAGATTCCATCATCAGTTTGTAAATCTGATGGTTTTAATAGTAAATAACAATATCTGTCTGCTCCGGCAAGACTTGTAACTCTCCTGTGTGGAGATATGGAAGATTGTAATATCAGAGTTGTTCCCCCTCGAAACGGCAGACGACAAGGAAAACATATTATGGACGCTTCGATCCCTAAAAAGAGGAAACGAAATTTCTCCACTGCGGACATTGATATAATCGTGTCTGGCGTGGAGAGTAATTTTGAAACGTTGATCTCAAGTCTCACAAATACGGTCACCAACAATGTAAAGAAGATCTGGAAAGATATCACCACGAAGTAAGTTCATTTGTTCCAACGACATGTTACATGAAACTATCATAAAATCTAAATCTGGCCTATTTTTAACTTTTCTTTTTACACAAAAAGATTGAGAGACATTCCATAACACGTTGTATACGAATTGTCAGACTTATTTCATTCTGAAATAATACGGATAATGAAACGAACTAAATTGGTGGGGAAATGGTTTATTGTTATCAACTATGTTCTACAATGTAAGAATAGTACAATTATACCAAATTAATTCATTGGTTTATTGATTATTATTTTTTCGTTTTCTCATGAAACCATAATCGACTCCTTTTCACAGCTGAACCCAAAAGTTATTATCTAACAATCTTCCCAGACTAAGATAAGATTAATAATGACTGTAATGATAATGATAATCATGATATCATATTTTCAATATCAGACTTAATGCAACTGGTGACATAACAAGGAATGAAGAGGAGGTCCGAAAGAAATGGACAGATATGAAGGCATGTGCCAAAAAATCAGAGTCCGCCAGGAGGCTGAATGCTAAGAGAACTGGTGGTGGACCACCCCCTGATGATCTTACTGTAATGGAAAAGAGGGTAAATAAATACAAAGCATTTAGTTTTATAATGAATACAAAAAACTGAGTTTGAGTAACACTAGACATGATTCATGAAAATGAAATTGTGTATGCACTTAGAAACTCAAAACATATCTATAATAATAGTAATAGAGCTACCATTTCCTTCTTTTATTAGATTCTACAATTAATTCCTGCCTGTGCTATTGAGGGGATTCCAGGAGGCATAGAAACACCTGGTAATGATGAGACTGTCTTCATGTTGTTCATGTACATGTGTATTAAAGTTACTGAAATATGTAGTTTAATCAAGTTCTAAATATATTTCAAAGTTATTGTATGAAATGTTGACAGTGTTTCTATATAACATCACAAATGTAAAATTTGTTTTACTTTCACAGTCTTCAGCATGATTCTATCTATTGCTGATGAAGCCGAAGAAACAACATTTCTCTTTGGTAAATAATGATGCAAACTCATTTCTTTGTTTTGAAGATGCACAAATATTTTACTTTTCATTTTAAAGTTTAACTCGTTCTTGTCAAATGTAATAAATATCAAATAAATTTATATTTGGTGTAAAGTAGTTTGGGACATAAAAGCATTTATAAAATTTAACAGTTACATAACTATCATATCCAATGTTATCATCCAGTTAATGTTGTGTGTGAAAAATGCATACAGTCACAACTGATATGTTTCAGATTCTCAACAGGAAGTGTTCTTCACACCAGTAACTGCCACAGATACAGAAGGCAGTTGTGGAGCTAGCACAGGTGTGACACCATTCCAGAAATTCAGATGATGAAATGCTACCATTCTTTGCAATTTATAATGACACAGTTAAGCAATTCCACTGATTTGTAGCTACACTTTTAACATGTTGTCAGTTATAGTTATTTAAAAGAATGCTATGCATTTCAGATAAGGACCAAGCTTGAGTGGTGGACACAATGGTCACTCCTGCTATGAAAAAAGTATGTATTTAACATTATTCAACTTTATTGATAAATATTTGTGCACACATAAAAAGGCAATTTACTTTGTTAGTATCTCTAGCTAATAACAATAAAAAAAATTCTTTCAAGGAAAACCTAAAGGGAAGCCTCCGGTAAAGAAAACATCAAATGAAGGTATGTTATTGCTTTGTTTACAGTATTTTAGTATCAGTACTGCAATTGTGATCATAAATAATTCATTGGATGGTATTAATGAACATTCACACATCATTGATTATCACACAAAAAATGTCTTAATCTTTTCAGAAGACATTCTGGGAGAAATCAAATCCCTTCAAGCACAGGAAGAAAGAAAGATGTATCTTTTGGAAGAAATTCTGTCTGTGCAGCGGGACATCCGGGACATCCAAAGACAAAGGCTGGACCTGGAACGAGAGAAATTTGAATATAAAAAATCATTTGGAAATTCATTGTCTCCAATTATCAAATTTAATTAAAGGCACATGTTTACTTGTGCCGATGAAAGTTTTCATGTGTTTGTTATCTTATTTAGATTAAACATATGTATGTTAAAAATATATTTTCAATAAACACTAAAAATACTATAATGGAGGATTCACAAGCGTTTCTATAAAGTGGTTCAGGATTTTGAAAAACATGCTACCTTGCCACTTCAGGTAGGACATGTGGATATTACATGGCTTGTGGAGTAATGGTGGTCCCATTAATTGAAATAATCGAGGATTGGTCGCAGTGACTAGACATGTTTTCTCATCATAATCGAACACAAACGATTTTTGCACACTTGTATGCATCAACAATATCTTTCACAACGCTGGTTTTGACTCCATGAAATTATTGTTCCTAACATACTAGTCATCCTTTAAATATCTTGCGCAGTTTGCATAAAACCCCCAGAGAACTACATGTTTTTTCTTATTTTTTTGTGTACATTAACAAATATAACAGGAACATTTGAGAAATGATGCTAACCAATTATTTTCTATGATTGATTGGTTGTAATGGATCAAACATCAATTATGATATTTTAACCAATTCCCAAAACTATTGTGCAGAGAAGGATCACTTACTGGTTATGTGTGTTAAAACCTTGTGTTGATAATATTTCTCCTGACTTTATATCCATCGGTGTTGTAGTTATCAGAATGAGTGTTGTCCATGTCTGGTCCACTAGTCTCACACAGAACATCTGGCTCAGGCAACCTCAGTTATATTGCCATATTGTGAAGTTGCATGCAGGCAGTAATAATTTTGATGCTCTTCTCGGGACTAAATAGCAGGCATCCAGTTGATTTGTGAAGACACCTACACAGAATTTTTTATAATTACATGTTTGTATTCACAGACAGTGATGAATCATGCATGTTTATAGCACAGTTTTTAAGAATTTCAAGAAGGAATAACAAAGTGAAATAATTAAGTAGAAAAGGGTATAATTACATATAATCACCAGTACTACCTCTTTAGATGAGAAGCTTTAATAACACCTTGAATTAAGACATAAGACTTCCTTATATTTACCTGAATCTAGATTTGCACAATCCAAATGCCCTCTCCACTGAGTTTCTTGTAGCAGTGTGACAGCGGTTATATTTCTCCTCTTTTTCATTTTCTGGATTGCTGACTGGAGTCAGGAGGTAGGGTCTGCATGCATACCTATGGAAAATGTTTTGAAATGTTTAAATGTTAAGGGTAGAAATATGACATTTTTTGTTAATAAAAAAGACAAAGGCTGACATGACATAACTTGAACATAGATATACCTACCCTGAATCACCAAGAAGCCAGATGCCATATTTCCCTTCCTGGAGACAGCATTTCAAATTGCAGTTATTAAATATATGGGAATCATGTGTTGATCCAGGCCATTGGACGATGATGTTCGTGAATCTGCAATTATAAATACATAGATAAAGTACTATGTTTTTTAAGAGATCAATCTTTATAAAAATATTTAACACAACTCCACATTTACCACATGGCACAATGACCTTACAGTTATATACATCAAAACAAATAAATAAATATTTATAATATAACCAAACAAATAAATAGATTTTTGAAGTAAACGTGCATTAGAAGGCAAACTTATTTTATAAAAAGCCGATCAATGGGACAAACAAGCCTATATTAGCGATTTGAAAATCAAAAACGACACAATGACATTTATTATTTGCAAGTCTCAGCAAGTCTAGATCGTTTGTTTACATTGCAAGGGTCAAGGACGTCAGGGATATTTACCGCAGTTGAGCGTCGCACACAGCTTGCACATTGATGGCATGGAATCCTTTCCTGCACACATATACTGCCTCATCCAATGGTGGCTGTTGAATCGGTATTAGAGTGCAATCTATGCAGCCAACAACTTTCGGAAAACCACAGATGTTGAAGAAATCCTCCGCAAGTTTTGCATGTTTGCCGGGCGATGGAAACCGGATCAGATCGTGCGAGTTGACAATTACTTCCGTAGTGTCTTCCAACACGCGACTAACATTTGACTTGGCAATACCATGTATGTCTCCTAGTTCGCTGAGAAATCCACCTTTAGAATAATATCTAAGTGTTGCTAACACCTGAACATGGGCGGGTAGGGCACACGAACGCTTGGTCGGTCGAGCGATTGCCGAGCTGACCCGATCAACCAGCTGAAGGATGTTATGTCGAGGGAAACGATACCTGGCAATCAGTTCTGTGTCGGTCAACGTGTCCAATATTTGGGTCCTATCTCTGAATATTCGCTCTCGCTTAATATTTCTCCTGTTCAAAATCTCTTGGATTCTCAGTAGTGTCGCCATATTAAACGCTGACTTACGATGTTGTAAGCTAGTTACAAGTGCCTCTTACCCATCGTATGCTAGGAGGTTGTTTATGATGTGGTGTAAAGTTAGGAGGTCTTTGTTGAACGATACAAAAAATTAAGAGCTGCTTTACGACGTGGTTTAGGACGTCGTAGCGCTAAGAGGCTTTCGTGAAACGGCACCCAGGCACCTAAATCTTAGGTACAGTTTATCATTACATCCACATCCTCTTGTTACCAGTTATCAGTAAGTATTGTAACTTGGTTCTGGCATTTTAGTTCCCTCGTCATGTGATTAAGTGACCATGAATGGCAGACAACGGAACCACCGCAATTCGCCATCAGGCACGCCAGAAACTTAACATTGTGGTCTGACATCCGCAATGGTTTCTAGGTTTGTCAACTTGTTAGTCTCACCACACTGGTAACGTCTGAGGCCTGCATCAATTTGTCCCTCCCACATTGAGGTATCCCTACAGACACAAATTTGTATAACTTGAAAACGGCATTAAACAAATATATTAATGTTAGAAAGGGTTTGTTTTAAATTCAAATTAATCTTATAATTAAACTTTTACAATAGTCAATAAGTTTCACAGTTTGCCAGTTGGTAAAGTGTTAGCCTCTCATATGACCATGACTGATCGTACTCGAAAATGAAACGTCCTGGGTTGTGCGTATTTTAACTGTGTCCTTTGTGTCCTTTTCCTGTGTCCACTCTTGTAATGGCAAATTCATGATATAATACCTAACGAGTTCAGATTTGGACTGCTCAATGGTAACACAAGTTTCAAAAAAAAATGTGTTCATAGCAGTCATCTAAACTGTATCTATGTCAACAGGTAAATGCTGAAGTGAATACTAGAATAAATTTTCCCTTGTTGGCCCGTAAACATGATACCTAACATGATACCTACATGATACCTAACATGATACAAACATGATACCTAAATGATACCAAACATGATACCTACATAATATCTAACATGATACCTACATGATACCTAAGGCTCGAGGATGGTTCAGTTGTCTAAGGCGCCACAATTCTCTGTGCAGAGTTGATGTCCATGGCACACACCAGAAACGTGTGATCGGGGGTTCGAATCCCGGTTAATTATGTCTGTAGGTTTGTCAGCACCATCACCCGGGTCATGAGTTACACCAACGTGAAACACTCCAGGCTTGTCTCTGACAATACGCTGACACGCTTGGAACTGGGCTACTGTTCACAGCTTCGTTAAACCCAAGCCACTCACCAGCTACGTGATACATGTACAAATATAACTATTGACCAACTCAAATTAAAACTCGGATATGTATAAATAATCACAATGAATGTATTTTCAGCTCCACTGAATGAAATGGCTATGGACAATCTCACAGATCTGAAAAGAAGACACGAAACCAAGTCTAAGAAACGTGCTCCGGCAATGAAGAATATTACAAGAACAATACTCCATGAATTTTACGCTGAATATAATAAAGAACTCGCTTTTATACTACAAGATGACAGATTCCTGTGGGAGACATGACGGTGACAAGTGGCATAACCTTCTCTTATGTGTATTATTTAAAAATCGTGTAAATAAATTTCATTAAAATGTTGATAATTTATTTGGAGCATTTTGTGCAGTGTTGATGTCACGGATACTTGTGTTGTACTCCGACGGCATGGGTGCTGCTTGGTATCAACCATTTGTTTTAGTGTGCTAAATACTTACATGATACTAATTTGTTTTCTCGTGAAGTCCAAGTAACTTAATACACCTTTTTGGTATTTATGGACACAGAAAAACCGTTAATCATCAGGCACTTAAATCTTAGGTACAGTTTATCATTACATCCACATCCTCTTGTTACCAGTTATCAGTAAGTACTGTAACTTGGTTCTGGCATTTTAGTTCCCTCGTCATGTGATTGAGTGGCCATGAATGGCAGACACCGGAACCACCGCAATTCGCCATCAGGCACGCCAGAAACTTAACATTGTGGTCTGACATCCTCAATGGTTTCTAGGTTTGTCAACTTGTTAGTCTCACCACACTGGTAACGTCTGAGGCCTGCATCAATTTGTCCCTCCCACATTGAGGTATCCCTACAGACACAAATTTGTATAACTTGAAAACGGCATTAAACAAATATATTAATGTTAGAAGAGGTTTTGTTTTTAAATTCAAATTAATCTTATAATTAAACTTTTACAATAGTCAATAAGTTTCACAGTTTGCCAGTTGGTAAAGTGTTAGCCTCTCATATGACCATGACTGATCGTACTCGAAAATGAAACGTCCTGGGGTGTGCGTATTTTAACTGTGTCCTTTGCACTCTTGTAATGGCAAATTCATGATATAATACCTAACGAGTTCAGATTTGGACTGATCAATTGTAACACAAGTTTTAAAAAAATATGTTCATAGCAGTCATCTAAACTGTATCTATGTCAACAGGTAAATGCTGAAGTGAATACTAGAATAAATTTTCCCTTGTTGGCCCGTAAACATGATACCTAACATGATACCTACATGATACCTAACATGATACAAACATGATACCTAAATGATACCAAACATGATACCTACATAATATCTAACATGATACCTACATGATACCTAAGGCTCGAGGATGGTTCAGTTGTCTAAGGCGCCACAATTCTCTGTGCAGAGTTGATGTCCATGGCACACACCAGAAACGTGTGATCGGGGGTTCGAATCCCGGTTAATTATGTCTGTAGGTTTGTCAGCACCATCACCCGGGTCATGAGTTACACCAACGTGAATCACTCCAGGCTTGTCTCCGACAATACGCTGACACGCTTGGAACTGGGCTACTGTTCACAGCTTCGTTAAACCCAAGCCACTCACCAGCTACATGATACATGTACAAATAAAACTATTGACCAACTCAAATTAAAACTCAGATATGTATAAATAATCACAATGAATGTATTTTCAGCTCCACTGAATGAAATGGCTATGGACAATCTCAAAGATCTGAAAAGAAGACACAAAACCAAGTCTTAGAAACGTGCTCCGGCAGTGAAGAATATTACAAGAACAATACTCCATGAATTTTACGCTGAATATATTAAAGAACCAATAAACTTTGTTTTTTGTTACTCTTTTAACCATTACATATGAAAGATTTGTAGTTAGTCTTATGCGGAACACCAAATTTATTCTTTAAAAACTTGTGGTTAATTAATACCGAGCGATTAAAAGTGGCCAAAAAGTCGCCTGCTTCCCTCTCGCCCGCCAACGAAACCACAGACAGGTTACGTAACTCTGTCGCTAGAGCACTGCAGTGACGTCATATGAGGAACGATTTTCAGTTAGTTGTATAGAAAGTGTGTAGCACGTTCATCATTTTGAAGATTTCTCGACATCAACGACGACATGCCGAATCGTTGCTTTGTCGTCAATTGCTCCTAGGGGTCGGGCGATGGTGTCACCATGCACAGATTTTCACAGGACCCCGCAGTTCCTGCTAAATGGGTTATGTTTGTGAGTGCGAAGCGAGCGTTGTGGAAGCCTGAAACGATATCTTACTTGTGTTCAGATCGCTTCACGGAAGTTAAAGAATCAAAACTACTTACTAGTTGTAGTAAAATATGTATATGATTGATGACCATAAATTTTTTCTATGACACAACTTGTAACATAACGATTTCTTCCTCGGAAGTGAGCTTGTGGTCGAAGTAACAATAATATATTATAAGTGGTATTATATTGACACCCACCTCGCTGCCACGAGAGAAATTGTTATGTTATACGCTATGTCATGCAAAATCCTATTGGCCATCAATCAAATACATATTTTACCACCAGTAGAAAGTAGTTTTGATTTTGTAACTCGGTGAAAACAAACCTAAATAGCATTTATCCTCAGACTGGCGGATGTTCCAGACAGGGCGCCGCCATTTTTGAAAATCGTAAAGTCTGTTAGAATTAATGAGATTATAGTTTGTTTTCATCAAGTTAGAAAATCAAAACTACTTTCTACTCGTAGTTAAATATGTATTGGAATCATAACCAAACGGATTTTGCATGACACAACTTATAACATAACGATTTCTTCCACGGAAGCGAGGTGGGGGTCGAAGTCACAATACTGCGCGATACATTTCTTGCTACATTCACATGGTTAATGTCCACTCACCAGTATGTAGATACTAGTCAATGTGCGTCTTTATATTTGGTCTTATAATCCTAATTAGTTTAGTATCATACTTGTATGCATTTTGAAACTAAATAAAAAGCAGACGATCTGCTGATACTTATAGTGAATTTATAACAGAACTGTAATATCTAGACATTTATTCTACCATGACTTCAGTAAACACTGGATTGTGATTGGTTAATTAAAGTCATTCAGAGGTATATAATCACGTTATACAGGTCTCTGTTTTCCGTGCGCAATCATACATGGTTTACGGTAATGCACTATTTTTGTCTGCCCACTAACATGGCGGACACCAAACAACCTACCGATGCATCGATAAATTACGGCGATTTTACTGTCGGAAATTACACATATGTCTTTAAAGATGGATTTAGCGATGACGGGCTCGACTCACTACTTGCGTAAATCACAGCAATAGGTGTTTATACATACAAAAGTACTTCGAAAGCATGGAAACAAATATTCAGTCGAACAAGATCAAAACATCGTCTGCTTTCCGAATAAAAATTCAGCAAAAACAAATTTGTTTACGTTGATTCTATGTTATGTCAGAATAGATCCAGCAATAGACTGCTACAAAATTTCCGTGTTAAATTTATTATCAGCTTTCGTCAACGATATCGCCACTGATCTTGATCCGGTAACGGAGGATGCATTAACATCGAACGCCGAAGAAATTTTAATGCCTTCCGTCCACATAAATAAACAGTTGGGTTATCAATTCAAACAAAATGATATTTTGAAATTTGTACTGTTTCAAATTTAGCGGTAGTAAAACACAATTAGATCTACAGAATCTGCAAACCGTTCTGTTTAGCCCAACATATTTTTTTCTAAATGTATAATATCGTTGAAAAAGTTATTTAGCTTAGTCATGATCCCTCTTATCCATTACACTGCTTGATCTAAAATAGTCTATTAAAGTATAATTAATTACCTTACCGTGTTTATGCCAGAGGTACACCCTCGTGTCCTGATCCATCCTTTCGGAAATATCACCACAAATCTGGCTCTTTGTCAACAGACTCGCGAACATGCCAGCGAATCCGATTCAATTTGAATTCACTACACTTTGAAGCCACTAGGTCACAAAACACTTTCCAAAATGTAGAAAATAATATCCGTAGAATCGAATTTGAGCACAAAGTACACACATGAGTGTGTAAGAGTCACCACAGCTGTCGCACGCAGACGTAGAGGTGCGTGAAATCGTCAAGTTGACAGGGCGCAAAATTCAACAGTATCTAAATTCGGTACAACACGGACTTCTCGTTACAGCAAAAGCGCCCCTACTCTTAAATTTTGTACCAGTACCAGTAATTAGATATCAAAGACTATCTCAGTCATACAATCAGGTTAACCTTGCGCAAACTGTCAGAGGCTCTCCTGTCGCATCTTTCCAAATTTGCACGTAAATGTAAACAATGACTTCGAGAAAAGGTCAAGGCCATGAGGTTGCTGCCACTTTTCTGGTGGGGAAAGGGTCTACGGTGGAATTTCAAAATGTGAACCAAGCTTTTAAACTTATTTGATATATGTTTTCCAACTTATCAGTTAATGATTGGTGATTGATGCATTGAAAAACAAAACGTGATTTGTTATTACTGAATCTGGAGTTTGTTAGTCATTGACGGTTTGCCACCAAACACCCCGTTTCGGGCGATACCACTTGAGATTGGAATGCGAGGCCGCTTCACGTATTGACTCGTAACCAAAGAAAGAGCTCCACCTGAAATTGTTCATAAAATTGTCATGGAGATGGAGATAAACCTATTGTGTTGGAAAATCAGAGGTATATAACGAAATTATAATAGCTCTAAATTGTTCATTTAAAACCTCACGCTACGCGTTCGGTTTTAAATGAAATTTAGAGCTATTATTATTTCGTTATATACCTCTGATTTTCCAACACAGTAGGTTTATCTCCTAACTAATCAATCAGCGTGTTATCGGTTAATCCTTTGGTCGATGTTAATAATGTTGAATATTTACTCCAGACACACGAAATGCCAAATGGGAACCTTTGTCGGGTAATCTAAGTGTGTTACCACTAATTATACCTGTTATAAATTCATTAACTGACCATCAAGTGAATGATGACAAATAACACGGGTTACAACAAAGGAGTATTAATTGCTGTATTGCATGTGAAAACTTATGGGCCGACACTGTTTTGAGAATACAAACAGATTTTTACATGACATGATTAAATATCGAGATAAAAAAAACACAGAAATGGGATCAATTTGGATCAGTCATTATACAAATAGGGCCTAACGACACCGATCGATTTTGACAGAATCGTCTATGAAAACAAGTTGTAACTCGGAAACTAGGCAAAGCAGGAGACAAAATTAAATGACAGTAGATTGTGAGAACATATAGCTTTCATTTTCCACAACAATTGTCACGATTTCAGGTTTATACAAGCCTGTAAACAAGATAATTTACCCCCTAAAATGTAGATGAATTCTGCATCGGCCCTCAAAGCTATTCCTCATATGACGTCACAGAGACGCGCCTCTCTGATTGGTTGAAATTTCTTTCGCCGGTGAGAATTGTGCACTGTTGTCAAAAAGGTCGATTTAAGTCAATTAAAGGTCGAAATGAGTAGTTTTAATGACGGGGTTTCATTTATAACGATGCCAGTTAGTGATTTATGTATTTGTACCCCCTAGGGTTTATGTGACCTTTAAAGAACTCGCTTTTATACTACAAGATGACAGATTCCTGTGGGAGACATGACGGTGACAAGTGGCATAACCTTCTCTTATGTGTATTATTTAAAAATCGTGTAAATAAATTTCATTAAAATGTTGATAATTTATTTGGAGCATTTTGTGCAGTGTTGATGTCACGGATACTTGTGTTGTACTCCGACGGCATGGGTGCTGCTTGGTATCAACCATTTGTTTTAGTGTGCTAAGTACTTACATGATACTAATTTGTTTTCTCGTGAAGTCCAAGTAACTTAATACACCTTTTTGGTATTTATGGACACAGAAAAACCGTTAATCATCAGGCACTTAAATCTTAGGTACAGTTTATCATTACATCCACATCCTCTTGTTACCAGTTATCAGTAAGTACTGTAACTTGGTTCTGGCATTTTAGTTCCCTCGTCATGTGATTGAGTGGCCATGAATGGCAGACACCGGAACCACCGCAATTCGCCATCAGGCACGCCAGAAACTTAACATTGTGGTCTGACATCCTCAATGGTTTCTAGGTTTGTCAACTTGTTAGTCTCACCACACTGGTAACGTCTGAGGCCTGCATCAATTTGTCCCTCCCACATTGAGGTATCCCCACAGACACAAATTTGTATAACTTGAAAACGGCATTAAACAAATATATTAATGTTAGAAGAGGTTTGTTTTAAATTCAAATTAATCTTATAATTAAACTTTTTACAATAGTCAATAAGTTTCACAGTTTGCCAGTTGGTAAAGTGTTAGCCTCTACTATGACCATGACTGATCGTACTCGAAAATGAAACGTCCTGGGTTGTGTGCGTATTTTAACTGTGTCCTTTGCACTCTTGTAATGGCAAATTCATGATATAATACCTAACGAGTTCAGATTTGGACTGATCAATTGTAACACAAGTTTTAAAAAAATATGTTCAAAGCAGTCATCTAAACTGTATCTATGTCAACAGGTAAATGCTGAAGTGAATACTAGAATAAATTTTCCCTTGTTGGCCCGTCTCGTGTTTTTCTACCACAATGTAAGGGTGAATTAAAATATTAGTGACTCGCTATTATAAATTATACGAGCATAAATGCAAATTGTAAATCTTATTAAAAATATAATTGGAGCTACAACAACAATATTTAAAAGTTTGCCCTCTCTGGTACTCTCACATTTATATAGAAGCAGTGAGTGAGTATGGATTTACGCCGCTTTTAGCAATGTTCCAGCAATATAACGGCGGGGCCTAGTTCACATATATACAGTAATGACTAAAAGTTCATTCCCCATACACGCATGTGCAACGCGTGACACACCCGGGTGAGTTGCGTTGGTAACTCAGATAGACAGATATTATATTTAAGTCTCACCTCATGTAAAAGTACAGATATATACACACATATACATAAAATGAGCCACCCTTTAAGGGTTATGAGAGACTATTACATAGAAGTGACATAATATGATAAAAGTAACAATATGAAATTAGCCGTATAAAGGATGTTTTCTTCTTTGAAGTATATAAAAGCAGGTTTTGGCTGTAAAATAAACATGTTCTTTAAATAGTAAAATCATTTTTTCATTATCACATAAATCTGGGAAGTTGGGATAGCTGAAACACATATGGTGATATAAACTTTCACGTAGATCATCGTACAGCGGACATTCCAACAGTACATGACGTTCATCCTCAATCTTATCACTGCATTGAAAACACCCTTTCATTTACATTCATGTTTGAATATCTGCCTGTTTCCAACTTTAGAGGTGCATTACCGGATCTACACTTGGAAAGGGCAGATCTATAATTAAGAACGCGGCATTTGCATACTTACATAGCTTTCGGGTTCCTAGTATGGTGATCTACCTTCAGTTGTTGGCGATCAATAGCCTGTTTTTATATTGTATCGTCTTGTATAGTTCAAATGTTTTAGATTTAGTTACTAGTTCTATATCTATATCTGTGATAATCTAGTTGTTTTATTGTCCTTCGTTGGCCGAATTTTATAATTTACCTTAAATTGTTGATATATTTATAACTTGCGTTAGTCACGATATTGCTGAAATATTGCCAGAGGGGCACGAGTCGATATTCGGCTTGTCCTGGAATAACACGAGTTGGTCACGAATGCTTCCGGCCACCACATGTTTCCCACCTCCCGTTTCTCAAATCCAGCCACGCGCCTGCCGTTTCCCGCCTCTTCTCGCGAGATCCTGTCAACAGAAATTTCTCGACTTCCACATTTATTTTCAGCCGTGGACAGACTACCTTACACTACAATGACCCGACATATTGGTGTTGACTGAAGGGGGATCTCGGCATATTCAAAACTGTCTTGAAATTATTAAGAAGTCAATGCATGTTTCTATTGAGAGGTTGATATCCATGCTTTAGATTGTTGTTGTTAACCCATTTGTATATTTATAAATTGATTAATTAATTCTTTATTTATAATGTACATTTTGATGGCACTAAAGTACATTTCAGCAAACAGATAATACCACCACCCATGTCTTCCCTTTTCTCTGGTGGATGTTTGGTTTCTTGTTTTACGCCGCACTCAGCAATATCACATCTATATGGCGGCGCTCTGTAAATAATCGAGTCCTGACCACCCGATCATGTTAGTCGTCTCTTAAGCCTGACAGGGGGGTACCATCACACTCACCCCACACAATATACCTTGACGCTCCCAGCTTTAAGCCTGACAGGTAGGTACCATCACACTCACCCCACACAAAATACCTTCACCCTCACAGCTTTAAGCCTGACAGGTAGGTACCATCACACTCACCCCACACAATATACCTTGACACACCCAGCTTTAAGCCTGACAGGTAGGTACCATCACACTCACCACACACACAATATACCTTGACCCCCACTTCACACACACACACGCACACACTGCCAAATATAAGACAGGCATATTTCCCTTGGAGTTGCAGACTTGCATGACCTCCACACACCTCTAATGAAAACTTCATTCAATGAACCTTCTCTGGTATGAGTTTAGCTGATGGTGTTTAGCTGTTGATGAACCTTCTCTGGTATGAGTTTAGCTGATGGTGCGATATTGTTCAATGTAGATAGGATCGGAAGTCTGAAATGGATCCCATGAATTATCTCCCCTTCGGTCATGGTCCACGTCAGTGTTTGGGAATGAGGCTTGCACAGATGGAGATGAAGATGGCCCTGGCTCGAATTCTCAGACAGATTCAATTTGTGCCTGCACATGACACATTGGTGAGCAAAAACGATATGGGCGACTAACCCTAATCTTAAGACCTTGACCATAAACTGTTTGACTTTTCAGACAAGAAAGCGTGAGTATAAGCGTGCATTTGTAAAATACCTAACTACACTCATTTATGTTAGACACAGGTCTCCACTAGCAATCTGCCGTTTTTGTTAGTGTTGGTGGGTTAACTCAGCAATAGTCCAGCTGTATGACCTTAGTTTGTAAATTATCGTGTGTAGACCAGACATGGAATGATTGACCTCGTGGAGAGGCATCTATCAACGCAAATGGGACATGTTAAGGTGTGAAGTTTCGCTGTCAAAACTGGGATAACTAGCTGTACCAAGTAAGGGTAATTATCAGTCAAAGTAAACTTAGGCTCAGTATTATTCGTTACAATGCTATACTGAGTCTAACAAAACCTTGTGGAAGTTCGCGTCAGATAACCTTTGAGCGACCTATGACCGTCCAGCCAAACGCGAGACGACAGAACGGTTTTAACCAATCAGACAACGGCTACTATTTACGGTTCGGCGGGACTTACAAAATGGATTTACTCTTCCCCTGTCGCCAACACTGATCTCACAACAAATGAAAACCCGCATAAAACACAGATATATGACCTGCTTTTGGGTTTCTGTTGACATGATTATCATTACCTAATATTTCCACAAGCTGACATCCTTGAATACTGACTAAACGCTATTTTCAGCGAGTGTTTACTAACGGTTGTGGCGTGCTCCATATGCATCACTCGGAAGCGATCGTACGGAAAATAGCATTCGGAATCGTTCCGGTAAAAAACTTTTTCGAGGTAAAAGTTCAAAAGGTATGGGCGAATTTCATCTTTCGTGATTTGGTAAGCTGTGTTCTGATTGGTCAGATGAAAAGGTTACCTGACGCGATCTTCTACTAGGTTTTGTTAGACTCAGTACAGCAGTGTAACGAATAATACTGAGCCTAAATTTACTTAGACTGGGGTAATTATGTGAATGCAATCAACCGAGAGAAGTACAGAAGTATAGCTCTTTTGGTCCCTATATCCATACCAGTAATATGTAAAAGAAACGGGCACGAGAAGAGATGACAAAGATTTACGAGGAAGAAAGGAGGAAGATTTTGGATGGGTATGAAGATGCAGCACCTCAAGAGATTGCAGCCCGACTTCAGATATATGAGTATCAAAGTGATACTGTTTCAATGGATCGCACTTTCAAGATTTGTCCCAAAATATTTTAACAAGTATATATTATCCACTCTCACTATAGGTTACATGGTACTTTGCTTGAGCTGTTCTGTCTCCTTCCGGATAAGACCAGTGCCACGTCCGGTAAGCTCACTGTCACAATTAGGACAACTGGCCAGATCAATTACAGAAGCGTGAAATTTCACTGTCAAAATTGGTACTGTCAAAATCGGGATTAAACCATGTACATGCATGAACCAATTCATCGACTCTGACCACCTTATCCCGTAAGCTACCTCTTTACGACAAGCATGGGTTTATATAGACCAAATCTCACCAGTATTATAGGCAAATTCATGGTTCAAAACACAACAGAAAATAGCTGCATGCATTGTCACGAAAACATCTAACTGAACTCGAAGTCTAAAGTCCTCGCATTGGCTACAGCTCAAACCCAGATCTGCTTTTATCATTTGACAATTTCTTCTGAATTCTCTCTCAGATGGCACCTAATCGTATATACTGTTGCCAGATCCAGCAAGGCCCATTTTGTACTCAAAACGGAAACCGCCCCAAGCTTCCAGAATTTCTACTGAGATTTGTACGAGTCGGCATTGTAGAATCAGCAACCCCAGGATGTATTGATCAACAATCAATGATTGTTGTTGATGTTGACAACATACGATGATGATAATGATGATGATGGTGATGATTGATGATAATGATGTTGATGATTATGTAGATGATGATGATGATGACGATGATGATTGATGATGATGATGATGATGATCATAATGATTTTCTGTCTATTAGGCATCTATCAGACAAGAGGACGTCGATGTATATACAGGAATATTCAACACCAAGAAGCCTATCATGCTCAGGGTCCAAGTCCGTTCAGACGAGTAAGATGGCAAAGACCCAGTGTTCTCTGAGCCTGACAGCGCCGACATCCGCATCATCCAGTGTATTACCTCCCTTGTGTTACATTAAAACCAGGGACCATTTCACCAACGTGCCTTCGTTTTTTACTGCCAAGCCAAATGGCTGCCCAATTAAATGACATTTTTTTAATTCATTGAAACAAGACGCGATATCACTAGTTTGAATCTCATGCGTCCGACCATCTTTTATATATGCTAACAGCTGGTTGCAAGCAACTTAATTCCTTCTAGCCGTCTAAATATTGAATAAAACAGTTTTTTTCCAATTCATTTACAGCAGCTTTCGGTGTGGGTTAAATGAACTGAAGAGCATGTGTAAGCCCGAATATAGATCTTTGCCAAACTTTGTTCAGAAAAGTGACTTTCATTACGCTCATGAGCGAGAGACATTCTATGCTAGGCTGGTGGTAAATAAACTCTGTCAAAAAAGAAACGCAACCCCTGTCCTCAGATATGAAAAATTCGTTTGAATGAAGTTATTGCTTCCAAACTAAATGTTATTCGAATGTATTGAAATTATACACGTAATTAATGAAGATGACCATCCAAACAACTGCATTTGTACGCATAAGTGTATTTTATTGCTTTTTCCGTCACAACGCATGAAATGACCCTCATGGTGACTTCGCACAAAAAAACCACATGCAAATCATGAAAATGGCAGTTAATGTAGGGGTGTATAAAAGCCCATGTGCTTTCGTATTATATTCATTCATTTGTCGCATGAAAAGCTGTGTGAAAAATGCCACGATTGAGTGCTGCCGACCGAAATATCGCCATTGGTCGTGTTCAAGCCGGAGAAAGTTTTGGAACTGTTGCACGGCACCTAAATGTTCACAAAACAACGATATCCCGACTTTGGAGCCGCTACAACAACTTCAATTTGACCAACGATCGCCCGAGAAGTGGAAGGCCAAGAATCACGACCCCCCTTCAAGATCGGTACATCCGGGTCCATCACCTGCGTAATCGGCATGCCCTACCAACCGTGACTGCCACACAAATACCCGGTTTGAGGAGAGTGTCAGCTCAAACGATTAGGAACCGTCTGAAAGAAGCGGGTTTACGTGCCTGTAGACCAGTTGTTGGACCTGTACTACGCCCCTACATCTCCGCCGACGACTCAGGTGGTGCAACAACGTAAGGATATGGACTTTACAAAACTGGAGGCGCATCTGGTTTCTGATGAATCCCGTTTTCTTTGCAACATCACGACGGAAGAAAACGTGTGTATAGGAGACGTCATGAACGTTTTGCGCCCATCTGCGTCCGACAGGGGACAGATTTGGCGGAGAAAGCGTTATGGTTTGGGGATCCATCTCATACAACCAGAAATCAGACTTGGTGATCGTTGAAGGGAACCTGACAGCCCAACGTTACATCAACCACGTATTACAGCCTCACCTTCTCCCGATTATTGACCAACAGACACAGATTTTTCAACCAGACAACGCCCGGCCTCATACTGCACGTGCAACAATGAACTTTCTGCAGAATTCCAACGTCAATGTCTTGCCATAGCCCTCTAAATCACCAGACCTCAACCCTATTGAACACCTGTGGGATACTCTGGGTCGACGCGTACGTCAACGTCAGCCGCCGCCACAGACGCTGCAACAGCTCGGCGTTGCACTGCAGGAGGAGTGGAGAGCCATTCCCCAGGAAAGAATCCGGCGTCTTATCCGTTCTTGTCCAAGGAGATGCCGTGCAGTGATTGCAGCTCGTGGTGCTCATACGAGATACTGAGAAAGACGCCCCCCCTGGTGACAAACTGGTGTCTGTGAGATGACTTTTGAAATGACAATTTTAAACATGCCCATCTTGGTTATTATTCTGCCAAATTTCAGACTTCTGTCTTAAATAATAAAAATGCTGTGTCGTCTTAAAACTTCAGATCAAAATCTCTAAAATACAGGGGTTGCGTTTCTTTTTGACAGAGTTTACATGGTACTGGTGACGTTACTCAAAAGATGTTGTCTCACATTTATTTATATTTCCGTAGATATTTTGTCATCCGTTTATAATGCCTAACAGAGAGAATGTATGCCGTTGGGGATTAACAACCCTTGACTTAACTTGTACACGCGATGTTTTAATCCACGTTTAATATCTAGCACATGTGTATCAGTAAGGCACTGAGTCTGGTATCTGTCTGTGTCTCAAAAGTAGGCCCATTCTTGAGAAATGATAATGATACGTCAAATTCGGTTTGGTAGCATGGATAGTATATATATTTGAATTATTTTCTAAATTTAGAGTTTTTTCTCAATTACTTCGATTATATTCTATTTAGTTTATAGTTATCTAAGTATATTATAATTACCTTTTCTCGTTATTTCAAGTAATTTCTCGAAATTTTGAGTTTGTTTTCAATACTTTGATTTAGATTTTCAGATTGCGCAGGATTTTGATGATGACTTACGACATGAGACTTCTGATGTAGAAGTGTATATTCTTTGTCATGATAAAAAAATATACATATTAACATACTTCCCAATTTTCTAGTCCCATGTGGCCAGTGCAACTGCCTCGCGTTCATGGAGTTTAAAGATGCACCTAATAAAAGCACACGTGTCCCAATTCCTGGAAGTATGGAATAATTCTGTAACTGTAACAGTTGTAACTGTTTCTCGTCTCCAACGTAACCAGCGTGAGTTTAGTTTTACGCCGCTTTTAGCAATATCACGGCGGGGAAACCTGAAATGGGCTTCTTACATTGTACCCATGTGGGGAATCGAACTCGGGTCTTCGGAGTGACGAACGAACGCGTTAACCACTAGGCTACCCCACCGCCCTCAAACAGGAAAACGGACAGACGAAAAAAATGATGAAAATAAAACAATGTTTTCACTAATTGTGTGATTTATTTCATGAAATTGTTAACTTTCGATCACTTGATGAAAGTCTTTCAGACAATTCAGGTTGAGCCGCTTTGCTTGGGAAACAATATTTTAATAAAATTAATTTTGGCGTGGAGTGGGCATTTCTTGCACACAGGAAAGTGCTATATATACGAAAGACAGTCGGACAGATAGACAGACAGTTTATTTACATGTGGCCAAAAGGCCAATAATACACAGCAAAGTGCAACAGCATGTTAGGCACTGACAGTTTATTTGTATATATGGCTAAAGTCAAGTAGTAAAGAGAAAAGTTTGACATGGAAGGCACTGAAAGACAATTTTATTCGCATATGTTCCCAAAAGGTCTATAGGACATCAGGTATACAACACCATCGCACTGTACAATCACATCGCAGATTCATCAACAATAAGAAAAGGAGGCGGTTGGGTTTTTTCGATAAACGACAAGAGCTTTGTTCAACAACCTGACTTCAAACATCTGGTCTCAAGGGAATCCGTACTGTCTATTTCACAAGTGATCGGTGTCAGCTGCAAGATTAAGAATGTTACATAATGCAGGAAAGAGTACCTCGTTATTTTATAAGCAATGAAACACTTTTGTCAAAATGAAAGATAATATGATTCGAAAGAGCTCCAAACCAGTTTTGGGAGGAAAATGTCTTTGAGAGGCATTTAGAAGATGGAGCAGTAAGGAAGGCTAACAAGATATGGATCAACAACTTCTTTATTACAATAAAAAGTTGTTCGTCCATATATCGTTCTCCTTCCTTGAGTGCAAAATGTTCAAACATCTACCAGTGAAATAGCTGGGACTGAATATTCTTAAAATTAAAAAAACGATATATATGGAAAACGTTTGGTTGGTGTTTCTGATAATCAAATCAATGGAGAAATCAAAATACTTGCAGATGGTATCGAAATTCAACTCCTTGTTTAACATGGTGATAATCCAGTCTCGTGAATAGTTTACGAGTTCAATCGGACTCTGAAATCTTCCGACGTTGTTTTTGTATTTGTTCGCATTCAACAAAATAAGATTATTCTCACACGATTTTTCTCTCCTTGATTTCATTGTAATTTTTTTCCCATTCTCATATTTGAGGCCTTTTTACCAATAAGACAATCAAGGTGATGACCAACCCAACTTCAGTTGCGCAGCAGGAAAGAGCAGTGAGTGCTTGAGAATAGTTTTACGCCGCTCTTAGCAACATTCCACGGCGGGCTTCACCATTGTGCTTCACACATATTACCCAAGTGAGGAGTCGAACCTGAGTCTTCAGCATGACGAGCGAACGCATTAACCACTAGGCTACCCCACATGGAGAGTAAGGTCATGATGACGCATCTTTGCGGAACACCTCTGGTCACTTGAGCTATCTGAAACCTCTTGGTCTGAAAACTAGTAATCTATACAAACAAATGTTTAATTGATCTTTAGTCGCTCCGTCGCTGCGATTTTCAAAGAATTCACTCGCACGTAGATGTGCGAGCTTTGCAGAAAAAGAAATAAGCAAGCTATTCTTAAAAGTTTAAACGTATAATATATTAGGCAACAGTAAGAGTGGAGTTTTATATCATGTTTCCGATATATCTATTCTAGGGATTTTAACAATAGTTGATGGCCTTGAAGCAAACACAAGCGATTCTAGAGCAGCATGATAGCGCATCCAGGGTCTGAAGGGCGCTGTTGAGGTTTCCCACATCACTTGTCAGGCTGGACTTTGACCTTGAGCATGATTGGTTTCTTGGTGTTCAATTTGCCTGTGTGTACAGTGACGTCGTCCATTCCGACGGATGCCTGAAATAACCAACAGTTTAATAGCCTCCAGAACGAATTTAACCAGGAAGAGTTACAAATACTGACGGAAAAAATCAACTGCTCTTTATGTAAAGTTCATTAATAATGATATATTTTCGCAAATTAATTTAAGTGCATGATACGTGTTTAATAGAGGCAGAGCACAGTGACCGTCAGGCCAGTAGGTGTTCATGGAAACAATTAAACAAAACAAAAAAATAACCCTCTAAACACCAAAACAAACAATTTTCGTTCACTGTTGTTTCACGTACACAATGCATGGGTTACAGAAACCCAATTCTAACCCGGATCTTCACGGGTAAATAACTTCTGTCCCTTAAGTGGTAGTCGTATACAAAAGGACCATGTCTGTTTATGTCAGTTATTGTAAATATTCCGACATTGCCACAAAGGCCAGCAAGTACTGTCCAGTCTTAATGGCTGGACTGGCACCAACAACAGGTCATTTTCATGGGATTTAAACTAACCTTTTTCATCTGAATCGACGACACGGAGGAAGCATGGTATCTATCCCTTATAGTGGACTCACCAAGGTGTCCTCCGTTGCCACAAATTGGATCTTTTTTGAGAATCCGACCAATCGCCATCTTCATCTTCACCTGTGCAAGCCTCATTCCCACACACTGACGGGGACCATGACCGAAGGGGAGATAACTCATGGGGTCCATTTCAGACTTCCGCTCCCATCTAAATATCTATTTCTACTCCTGCTTCTTGTCCAAACTAAACTGGTATTCAGAAGTTGGACGTGTACTTGTGGAAAAAAGGGATTCCTTATTCTAGATGCACGTTCAATAAAACAACACATTCTCACTGGGAGTTTAGAGAATACTGAAGAGACTGATGTATTGACATATTGTATCATTTATAGCCAATTGAAGAAGTAGAAGTGCACTAAGTCTTAGAGTAGCGACTTATAGAAGTGAGAGAGTGAGTATGGTTTTACGCCGCTTTTAGCAATATTTCATTAATATCATGGCGATGCTCATTAGAAATGGACTTCACACATTGCACCCATGTGGGGAATCGAACCCGGGTCTATTGTGTGACGCGTTAACCACTTGGCTACCCCACCACCCGACTTACAGAAAATAATTGTGATTACAGCAAGTAAACGCTTTCAGTTTGGGTTATGAATGTGGGGAATGCCCAGACCTAATGATAGTGGCTATCAATAAAACATTTAGGTCAAAATAAGACGCAGATACAATGCTTACACTTACTATAAATAGACTCTCGCTCAACTCACAGTTCAGCTTCGATATTTGTTGTATGATCATTAAGCCTAATAATCATCTCAGTATCAACGAGTGTTGTCCCTAACGTCATCTCGTCATCAAGACGACACCATCTTGAGTTTGGAGAGTCGAGAAATACAATTTCACGGTATGGCAAGAAGAAAACGTACCTCGTCCACAAAACCAAAGAGAATAACTCAAACTAAGCTGTTCGCTAAACTGAGGCGGGATCCTAACCGTTACCGGGTGGGGGCCACAACGAACCTTCGTTCTCGGATGTCTGGATACAAGAGTAAACAGAAGAGACACCGTGACACTAGTGAGTTCTTTGCCACATCAAAAAATCCCCGAAAGAAAGAAAACAAGGCGTTGAACATTCTACCACAGAATCATCGCCACAATTATCAGAAGCAGAGTAACTTCCCTGACAGTCAAAGTGGCGCCCTGTACCTCAGAGACGAGAAGAAAAAGAAAAGGACACCAAACGGAAAAAGAAGAAAAATGTAACCACAGACTAATCATTTCAAGTGATATTTGCTACTGTGAAACATTTCATTGCAGCTTTGCAATCCTTTTGTGATATGGGAAACATAAATTCTGGAGCTGGGTAAATGTAACAAATATGACTTAGACAAACTCCAATAGAACTCTGGATATACACATATATGGGCTTTGTTGCATTGTCTAAAACATACTCATTGGTGATGCTTGTCTAAAACATACTCATTGGTGATGCTGATGGATATGTGTAAAAATGTACTTTTGGTATGTAAAAATCTGACGTTTTTTCCAAGCGAATACTGATTTGTAAAATAAGGCAATTCGATTTAAAAATGAAAAAAATAATCACAGGATTCTATGTTCTTTTTCTTCCTTTTAAAATATTGTGATAAACTACAGGTTACGTTTTCCTTCCTTGATGGGCATTTTAGAAGTTGGGTTCATGAAGATACCTTTATGGGTATACAAATTCTTTATTTGTAAAAGGTGACGTTCCGACATAGATTCTAATAACTGCTTGACAACGACATTAGAATCCATGTCGAAACGCCACCTTTCAGAATATGGAAGTTGTATATCAATAACAAGTATCATCATTCTATAGGTTACGTTGCGAATCATGTAAGTTAATGGTGTATTATATCTCATCCCATTTCCAAAATTTCAACATTGTTTTAAGTTTTTACTTAGAATGTGATTTCTCTTTGCTGTACAATGGCAATACATCCAGTGGGAAAAGCTAACCATATTTAAAATACTGGCTATAGAAATACGACATGTGGAAGTACTTTCTCAATGTACAGTTTCCAAGAATGAGCTTGCTAGCCATCTACCCTGAAACGAAAGTAGATAGTCATACACACACATGGGACGATATATGGAACGACTTTTTATTTATCTGGTTAAAAAGTTACGCAAATGCAATTATATGACCAATAAACATTCTCAAAACTATTAATGTGTAATAATATAATGGCAATCGAGTGAACCGGTTCGCGAAAAGTGCACCGCAATATATCGCATAGTGAACTTCGAATTTCAACATACCGGATTATCGCCCACCCCAAGAATCTATCACTGAGAGGAACAGCAAAACACTGAGGGATTTCACTCTAAATTTCGAATTTTACCAACACCATGTTCATGTGCACATCACGAAAATGCTTGTAATTGGCGTGTTTGCGCGAAACTTTTAACACGTGGGAATGGAATTATCATTTTCTAAGAAGATTGCCATGCACTCACATGGGGCAATGTATCGATGTCAGATTTGTTAAACTATGTCTTAGTTCGTGATTGTGCACTGTGAGATTGCTTTCACATCTCTGTGAGCATCTAAGTAGCTAGAATATCTGACATTGATGAGTGAGTAAGTGAGTGAGTGAGTTTGGTTGTAGGGCTCTTTTAGCAATATTACAGCATTATCACTGTGAGGGACACCGGAAATGGGCTTTCCCCACATTGTACCCATGTGGGGAATCTTTGACAGGAGACACAAAGAATGGGTAATTTGTTCCTCTGTTTGGAATCTAACCCGAACCAACGTCCCAATCTCAACCAGGTACCAAAGTACTCCTACAGAAAACTTGCCCTTTATTAAGCACGATTACGCGAGCAGTAACTATTTATCTATCTATATATGGCCTCTTAACAACGCTTGTACATGAGTTGATAATCGCTACCTGAGTGTGTAGTTACTGCGACCAAATAAATATAGACGCATTGAATAGCACTTATTCCGTGACTGAAGTATGTGAGGTAACGTCTTGCTTGCAGGTTATCTCACAGTTAGAAGAAGATCCAGGTTAGAATTGGTCTTCAGTAACCCATTCTTGTCATAAAAAGGCAACTATGGGGATCGGGTGGTCAGGCTCGCTGGCTAACACATGTCACGTGTCCCAATACAAATGCTTTGGGATTTTCTGGCCCAGACCTCCACAATATTGCTGAGTGCAGCTTTAAACAAAGAAAGATACAGATCATTTTGTGATAAGAAAAATGTGTATCTGTGTATAGTGTAAGGGACGTAACTCGATGGTGTTTAAGGACACTGATACCGTGGTACGGTATCTGCACTAAAAAGAATGAAACGTAAGGGAAGCAAAACAAACATAAGCAAATACGTTCTCACACACACACACACACACGCACACACATATATACATCTATATGTATATGTATGTATATATATGTATTTGTTCATTAATAAATGAGTGAGTGAGTGAGTTCAAATTTATACTCACATCGGCAATATTTCAGCCATATTGTGACTTAAAAAATTATAAAGCATCAATAAAAGGCAACTTATAATGTTAGTTATTACAAACAGATACAATAAATATAACTTCACGGCTAGTTTTTGAAATAATTTACACACAAAATTCCTCTAGACGCTGTGCAGTGTTAAACGAAATAACATATCTATTTAGTCATCACTAGTTCCTGCAACAGTTTGTGAAAAATGATCAATGGCTGGGCAATTTCGAGTAAAGATCAGCTGCTACAACCACATCACCAGGCGTAACCACATCACCCGTACCATGCGTAACCACATCACCCGTACCAGGCGTAACCACATCACCCGCACCAGGCGTAACCACATCACCCGTACCAGGCGTAACCACAGCACCCGTACCAGGCGTAACTACATCACCCGTACCAGGCGTAACCACATCACCCGTACCAAGCGTAACCACATCACCCGCACCAGGCGTAACCACATCACCCGTACCAAGCGTAACCACATCACCCGTACCAGGCGTAACCACATCACCCGCACCAGGCGTAATCACATCATCCGTACCAGGCGCAAACACATTACCCGCACCAGGCGTAACCACATCACCCGCACCAGGCGTAACCACATCACCCGTACCAGGCGTAACCACATCACCCGCACCAGGCGTTTGAAACAGAGACGTAACTTGAGTCCAGTGACAAATCAATAATCACACGAGGTGTACATCGATCATAGTACACGTATCTAGACTTTATACACCACACATCTACACAATCGATGACTAATATATGAGGTGCATAACTTCAGGACAAACACCTAAAATTAGAACTGGAAACAGCAGAGAAAACAACTACAAACAGGAGATAAAATATTAGAAATTTATATTGGAGAAAAATCATTAAAACTACGCACTGGACAGGAAACATTAAAACTACAAACAGGATAAAAAATATCAGAAAGTTACACTGGAGAAAAAGCATTAGAACTGCGCTTAGTAGAGAAAGCATTAGAACTGCATACAATAGTGAAATCATTACAACTGCACAAAGGAGAGAAAATATTAGACATTTACATTGGAGAGAAAATATTAGAACTGTACATGGGAAAAGAACCCATTAGAACACGAGTCGGGAGAGAAAACATTAGAACTGCAAAAAGTAGAGGAAACCTTAGAACTGCACAGAGTAGAGAAAACATTAGAACTTCACACAGTAGAGAAAACATTAGAACTGCACATAGGAAAGAAAACATTAGAACTGCACACAGTAGAGAAAACATCAGAACTGCACACTGTCGAGAAAACATGAGAACTCTATACAGAAGACAAGGTATTAGATCTGCTCACGGGGCAGAAAGTATTAGGACTGAACACAAGAGAGAAAACCTTAGAACTGCACATTGGAAAGAAAACCTTAGAACAGCACACAGGAAAGAAAACCTTAGAACCCAACACACGACAGAAAGTATTGGAAGTGTACACAAGAGAGAAAACATTAGAACTGTACACAGTAGAGAAAACGTTTGTTGTTTAACGGCGCACTCAGTAATATTCCACGTTTATGGCGGCAGTCTGCAAATAATCGGGCCTGGTCCGACACTCCAGTAATCAACATCATAAGCATCAATTGGGATACTGGGCCATGTCAACCATCGGATCCTCTTACGACAAGCATGGAGTTGCTGAAGGCCCAATCTCACCCGGATCTTCATAGGTTTAACAGTTAGTTGCAGATCAGTCAAGTATGTTTCACGTTTGTCGGTCATCGGTCATTCCTAAGAAAAAAAACACGATAAATACATAAAAACACGAAACAGTTGTGGAAATAACCTAATAACGTATCTCTAATTGGGTTAAACTACATGTTGGCTGACATATTTACTTATGAGAGGCCACATCATATTCAGTCTGTATGGGGCATTTAAATCATGCGTTGGAACAATTAAAAAAGGTTAATAAGTTTTGAAAATGTATTTAATCTCACTGGCAATATTTGCACTATGACAACAAACCCAGACAAGTGGAACTGAGGCCGCATTACTGATAACATGTTGCCTACTTCGAAGATACAAAACAAATCCTGAGTAGTTGTCGATTTGCAAAAGGTATCTAACGTATGAATAAAGTCAGTGTCAGTTTCAGTGAAGAAACGCCAAAGAGGTGATGTTGGCCAACCCCCAAAACAGCATTACCCAATTACAAACATATACGCCGATGACTTGACATTACCAGTTGCGCGCTCTGTAAAAATATTAGGCGTCTATTGCTCAATCCTTATCACAAGATTCTGTCGGTCCTTTGGAAGAGCAGCATGTTTCTTAAACTGGTGATAGTTGCCCTATTGGTGTTGGGTACGTATTGACTTGTATGCAACTTGTGAGGTTAATGTGAATTTAAAGTTTAAAACAAGCCTCTGAGGCATTTACACAATTTTGAGTTTCACCAGTTTTCAGCTTAACCGTTTCTAATTAACTTTCTGCTATAGCAGGCAGGTCTCTGTTTTTCTAATTTAACCACCTCCTTCATATAGAGGCTGGAGTGTCTGACGGAGACGTTATTAGGTCGAGTTACTCTCCTCTTCATATTTAACACGTTTATAGGTGGAAGCGCCTGCTGCACAGTATGAAGTTGTTAAAACTAGCACTGGCCTGAGTCAGTAGGCTGTCCTTGACAAGGTATCCATACCCGTGAAGATCCGGGTTAGAACTGGTCTTAAGCGAGTGAGTGAGTGAGTTGAGTTTTACGCCGCACTCAGCAATATTCCAGCTATATGGCGGCGGTCTGTAAATAATCGAGTCTGGACCAGACAATCCAGTGATCAACAGCATGAGCATCGATCTGTGCAATTGGGAACCGATGAAATGTGTCAACCAAGTCAGCGAAACTGACCACCCGATCCCGTTAGTCGCCTCTTACGACAAGATAGTCGCTTTTTATGGCAAGCACATGGGTTGCTGAAGACCTATTCTACCCCGGATCTTCACGGGTATGGTCTTAAGCAACCCATACTTGTCGTAAGAGACGACTAACGGGATCAGGTGGTCAGGCTCGCTGTCATGTCATCATATCCCAATTACATTGATCGATGCTCATGTTGTTGATCACTGGATTGTCTGGTCCAGAATCGATTATATACAGACCATCGCCTTAAAGCTGGAATATTGCTGAGTGCGGCGTTAAACAACAAACGAACAAGATAAGGTATCCATGTTAAACTGGTGGGCTGACGCTATAAAAGCGTCATTGTGTGACGACGTTGGGAACTGCGTGACGTTCTGTATTGCTTGATGACTTTGACAAATTGCGTGACGTTCTGTATTGCTGGATGACTTTGAGAACTGCGTGATGTTCTGTAATGTTTGACGACGTTGTGTATTACGTGAAGACATCTTATCTTAAGATAAGTTTCTTTGTATACATATTTCTTTCACAAAAGCTCTCAGCATGAAGGTGGAAGGGGCATGCGACCCAAATGCCTGTGATTCAGAACTGACTAGGCTTAACAGTATTGTGAACAACAATCCAAATCTCCAGGAAGTATGCCAGTAAGTATGTTCTCTTCGCCTCTATATGTGGAATTTATCAGTGATATACGCATTACCTTGGCATGTATTATGAGTTTGTATTATATAATGTGGCATCATTGATAAATGAAACTATATCAAATGATGGCGTCGTAATATTGAACCTATATTTTCGTAACTTTTATCAAATTGTTTAACTTCTAGAAAAGTATCATTTTCTTTTAGAATTGTATGCAGTTTTACATCAAAGAGGAATTTGAACCGAATTTACAAATTACAATTGGGAGTGGAAGAGGAGGAGTACACGTAGGTAGCACAATAATGATAGTAGGTTCTTTATTGAAATGAAAAAATTTACAAAACTTACCTGCTCATAGCAAGGATCCCAAAATGTCAGTTTTCACAAAATGCAACAAACGCTTAAAAAGGATATGTTGTCAACGGTTAGTGGACTTCTCTATTAGGTCTGCCAACGCATACATTGACTGTGCTAAGAGATTACTCAACGACTGTGGAGCCAATTCCTATAGAAGTCAACTTGAAAATACACAGAAGTTACTGAATGAGCAAGGCTGTGGTGAGTACCGCTAGTACACTATATAATTGATTTGTCTTAACTAGTTACATTCTCCTTTTGCCGAAACACAATAGCCCCTAATACAAAAGCTTCTTACGAGTTTGGGGTGGCTCCAAACGGTCGACCTTGCTTGACGCAATTCGGCGCTAAACGTTCACCTACTCGTCTGTAAACACGAGCCCGGCCGTCATTACTGTGTACTCGACAATTCGACAATTTTTATTACTCAAAAAACCACCTTCGGTGGTACAAGAGGATATTTTAACAACAATTTATGTACAATTCATATGCATGCGTCTTAGATAGACAACTGAATATAATAAATAATTCCTTATACATATGTACAGTTCCCTATATATAAATAAGTGAATATATTTATTGGTGGATAAACACAAACGCTTATTTAAAATTGGTTAGCATTTTTTGCAACTGTATGATAAAATTTGACAAAAATTTCTTATATCTAGTTGTCGTCGGCGAAAGAAGAAGAACTAATTTAGATATGTTGTTAAGATATTTTGTGGTGGGTATATATTGTTCACGATATGAATTAAGTGCCGGACATTTAAGAATATAGTGTAAATCATCACCGATTACACTTAAATTACAAAGTGTACAATATCTTTCATCCCTCGGTATACTTTGCCATCTTCCAGTCTCAATTGGCAGGTTTACATTTAAAGTTCTAAATTTTAAAATCGGCACAGAAATATATTTCGGTAAGAGTAGGTATTTTTCAAAAGCAAGTGATTGTTTGTAACGTTGATAATACATTCCTTTCGGGCTAGATTTGATACTTTCCCCTCCACTGTTGAATAAACTGATCTGTTAAAACTTGTCCAGCTTTCAGAACTAGAGAAGACGTGGTATATACCGAGGGATTTACAAATACATATGATAATCCAATTCTATCTAGTGAGAGAGAGAGAGAGGTTTATTCAAGTAAAGGGGCCACAGGCCCATTATACAAATGTACAAAGTGCAAGGTCTAACAAGCGCCATAAAATATTCAATATTAGCACAAGTGCTAATCAGCAGATACAAGAGGCGGTACTATACACTCAAGAATGCATTACGCTTCTTTAAAGCTAGATACACAAATTTTCCAAGATTATTAATAAGAAGTATATTCTTCGTCATGAACAACTGAGACAGTTTCTGTTGTGACGGGAAATTGTAATAATAATTTGGAATTGTCATTTCTCTAAGATTATTATAAAATGGACATTCTAGGCAAAAATGAAATTCGCTTTCTACAGTAGGAATAATACACAATGGACACAAGCGTTCATTTCGCTTTAGACCAAGGCGTCTACCATATTCAATCATTAACATATGACTGGAGCTTCTAATTCTACTTAAGGCAATACGAAATACTTTGCATTGAACGTGATTAATGTAGAACTCTAAGCAAACTTTGTTTTTGATATTACTCAGAAAATCAAGTTTAGAAAAACACAGCATATCACCTTTCCATGATTGGTTATGAACGTCAATACATCTTTGTTTGAACAGAGATATGAAAGTAGTGACATTCCCAACATTCTGGTAAAACCAGGCATATCCAAAACCATATTGATTTAGAAGTCTTTTTTACACTTAGTGCCCAACATGGGCGTCCTTTCTCTGCAGTTCGATATTGATATTCATACACTTTCTTTAAAATAACATTATCAGCTTGAGATACCAATCTTATCAATATTTAATAATTTTACAGTAAATATTAACTTTAAGGGAGTGTCTACCAAGCTCGGCATGAGCGAATATATTCGGGGTGCTTCTTGGGAGATTGAGAACTTGTTTGCAAAATTTGTCATGGATATTAATAACATTAGGTGCTGTGTGAAATCCCCATACTTCGCTGTCATACAGTAAGATTGGGAGAATTTTAACATCAAATATTTTGAACAAAACATGAATGGGGAGATTTGAGAAATTAGGTATTGATGATCTGAGTATACCAAGAACTTTCCATGCTTGTTCTGCGAGGGTTTTTTGAGTTATATACCACGAGCCTGAGCTGGATAAATGAACCCCTAAGTACTTATAGGATGAGACAGTATCAATAACATTATTTTTTAGATAAAATCGTTCGCATTTCTTAAGTCTGCCACCCTTTCTAAACACAATAATTTTACTCTTTGCTACATTGATTTTTAGTTTCCAACGGTCACAATAACCAACTAATTTGTCTAATCTCTTTTGGAGACCACCAACAGAAAAGTCAAAGATTACAATGTCGTCAGCAAATAGTAATATAAACAATTCAATTAGTTCCAGATTCACACCCCTCTGGTTATCTAATGCTAGGCTCTCTACAATATCATTTACAAAAAATGAGAACAAGAAAGGGGATAGTTGGCAACCCTGGCGGACGCCATTTTGGCACTCAAAAAATGCTGTATATCCTTCATTTATAGAGACACATGATCTTACAGATTTGTAAACTTCTAGTAAACCTTTGATATAGTGAATCCAAGGATCCGACTTAAATTTTTTATTGTATTTATTTAAACTGTAATTATATAACACATGGGATAATTTAAGTGTATCAGTATATGTTAGTTTGTGCCAAAAGGATAACATACGTTGGTATATTTTTATAGATATTGGAGTTCTGCCAAGTTCGCCGTAAACCATAAAATTCGGCGTAGATTTCCTTAGTCAGATGCAAGTTTCAGAAATTTTAGATGTATATTCTCTATTAGGTCAAGTTTTCAAATCCCCACAATTCTGATCCATAGGTTAAAATAGGTGTTATCATCATATCAAATGCCGATAATAAACAATCTAAGGGTAAATTCAAATTTCTTGCTTTTTTCAGCAGGCTATACATAGCCTTTGTAGCGTTTTCGGTTATAGTTTTTATGGTAGTTACCATTCTTTTGTTTCTGTGTAGTTGTATACCAAGATATACATAACTGTCGACTAAACTAAGATTTTTCTCCCCAAATTTAAATATCATTTTTGATTTAGCCGCTGGGCCCGAACCGAATACTAAAATTTTGGTTTTTGATACATTTACATTGAGTTGCCAATTAGTGCAATATTCATAGAAGGAATCGAAAGACTTTTGTAGGGCTTTAGGAGTAAGGGCAAACAGTGTCATCAGCGTAAAGTAACAATAAAATTTGCAGCCAGATTTGTATTTCATTTTCATTAGATAATTCCAAGTTAACTACTTCGCAACCATTTTCATACAGATTATTCTCTAGATCATTTAGAAAAATTGAAAACAAAAGTTGCGATA